ACTATGTTTTACAGAGGAAGCTGGGCAAAGCGACGCGCCGCACCACCCTCACTAAGTTAGCACCACCTCAGACTCCTCGCCAGCTGAGTACATTGGAATCAAGTTCTACATTTCGTATAGGAAAACTCTCCAAAGCCATCCATATTGCCTTCGAAATCAGTTCGAAATCATTCGTTTTGCTAGTGGGCGCGTTTCGCGGGGTTTTCTGGAGCGTGCTGAGGAATTTCACCATCTGCGAAGATGGTGAAACAACTCAGCACGCTTCCGATGGTGCCTGACAAACTTCTACCAAGAGCTCGCTTGAAGCAGAAGAAACTAATTCAATGTTTCCCGCCTCCAGCATTTTCTTAGGTTTGCATGCTTGTAACCAATTTTACCAGGTTTTCTTTGTCCAAAAGTAGAGTTCATGAACCCACGGAACGCGTGATATGTTTAAATTAAGCTCTGGTACAGCTTTTTCTATTTTGTTGTCCATCAACGATGCTTCGCTACAGAAGGCTAAGAACGTTCTTCCCAAATCTTGGGTAATAGTCACTTAACGCGGTGAAAAGATTGATAAATAAATAAGAGGTCTATTCCAGTTAGGGGGCATTGCGGTGCACAGTCTGCTCTAATGCCAGTTTGGCTCAAGGAGTCCTTTAAAGTTACGAAGTGCTATCAGCTTTTTCCTACGTTGTTTCTTCTGGTTTTTGTATAATGTATGTGTTCTTGTGCTTTAGTAACATAAACGTGAATGAAAAGTAATATTTTTTAGTGATCAGCTAAGGGGAGGAAATCTTTCCCCCGAAAAAGCCAAGACTGCTCATGAGCCCGGGGTTTTCCACCCTTCTGAGGCTTAGTCTTAAACCTTTGAACTCGGCTATCCGTGGTTTTAAACTTCTTGAGCGCTCTAAACCGCATGCCTCCCCCTAACTGAGATAGACTCAAATAAAATAAAAATAACAATAGCACAAAGGCGGAACTCAAAAAAAACTGTAAAGTGAAGAGAATGCCACCAACTTGTTGATGCTTGGGCGATCACGATGGGAGTTTTCGAGCAATGCGGCGGTTGAATTGGAAATAAGTTGCGAAAAATGTCCTCCGTCGGTCGTTGCGGTGTTGAATTTCTGACCCAATGCAGTAAAACCAGAAATAGAAGGAGCCGCCGATGCCGCATCCTGAAATTCGTAAGTCATCGTCGGCAGTCATAGCGGATGATTCATGATCAAGCCAAATTCAGATTCGCACGTTTAGAAAAGGAAGAAAAAGGAAGAGGATTAGAAGATTTCAAAGGAAATTCGTGGTGATCAATCGCTATGTAACCATCACGGGTAAGGAAAAATATTTGCGAAAAAAGCTCAGGAGAATCGAAAAGGTGTAAATGAAGGCGCGACGCTCACAAAACCAAGGAAATCTGATCCGATTGATTAGTCAGTGGACAGTGACCGGTCTTCTTTTGTTCGCGGTCACCGAAATCGGAGTACTTAACTCGGTAATGGAACGCCTTAGCGGTTGGGTAACCGTGTGGACTCCTTGAATTCCTCCTTGTCCGGAAAACGCCACGATTTACGGATGCGATGATGTGTTTGTCAATGGATGCGTAATGATTTCGCAATTTCCTTCTGTACGAAGAACCGGATTCACTTACGAAAATGATGAATGAAACATGGAAAAAGTTGGTAGAAACTCGACATGAAGTGCTTGTTTGATAAGTGGTAACGATTTCAGATTTCCTACGTTTCTTTTGAGATGAGCAATGTTTAAGACTTTGTCATCGTATGGCAGCAGCCAAATACGGCCATCTGAAGCCTATAGCTTTTGGAGAAAAACTGAGGGATCTGGGCTTGGCATCACAGCTTCATACACTAGGATAAACTTCAGGTCCCTAAAAACCCTAAGGCCAACCAAGGCCGATGCTGAGCTCATCGGAAAGACTTT